TGACACTCCCACACTGTCACTTACAAGACCTCTCTCCAGGTCACTGACCTCTGTTTATGGAGCCTTATACTATTGTTACCTGGCCCCTAACAAATGCTGCCATGTCTGCAAGAATGAAGTAAGGTTTACCAAGTATATTGCAAAAGCTAGAAATGAGGCCTCAATTCATTCAGAAGGCACAAAGTACATCTTACTGGAAGAGTTACACATAATAAGTGGTCACCTATCAAAAAATAAGTACCAGCCATCTACGGAGATGGTACCATCCCCCTAAAGATCACTGCAGCATGTTAGAACACGTGGCACATTTAAAAGGTAGGGTTTTTAAGGAAGAAGTTTTTTGAAGATTGTGAACAGACCTTTCCAGTTCTTTATCACTTTGACTGTCTGCAGAAACTAAGTGTCCCTGAAATAGTTTACAAAAAAAAAATTAGAAGCAAAGTCAGAAGCTACTGAACTGGACAATTCTCATACTCATCCTAGAAAACACTTGTTAGGAGCCATCCATAGGCTCAGTCCCAAACACTGAACCTTTTCCCCTAAACATTCACCTCTCAGACAAATCTTCTAAGATTGCAAAATACAGGTGAGGAGTTGTGGGGGTTTGTTGCAGGTTTTTTAAAATACGTTTTCTATTTCACGTGGGGTGTTTTTGCTATTAAGATTCTAAAGCATACTACTTTGGCTTGCAGGAAGTTTGCTACTGTCATTGTCTCCACAACTATCAGAACTGTGGATACTGGAGAGAGAATTACACTGACATCTGAGTGATTTAAGCATGTTTGAAATCATGCATAGTTGTGTGTCACTTGTTATAGTACAGGGGTAACGGAGTTAATAAATGGCATCTTTGAAGATGCATATGCTTGCCCATTTAATGTTGCTGTTCATCTAAAAGAACAGAAGTAATAGCTTATAAATGAAAAATTAAAAATACGCATTTTCTCTGATTCATTGCCCCTTCTAGTTAAGCTCAGATTGAACTACAATAATAACACTTTCAAGTAGTAGTAAAGAATGTTTTATTAAAATGGAAGTTTTTCAAACCTTATGTATCAAAACTAAGGCCACAACTAATGCTAACACAAAGTCAAGAACCTCAAAAGATTCTTATATGATACAATTTAGAAATCTGAGACAAGGCTGTTTTACAAAGTTACTCAAACATTCTGAAATGCAGCATTACTTACTTGTTCTAAAATATTACATCAATTATCCTAGTGATAATATTTAATGATACAAAGTACTGAATTATCAGTGCATATAACCCGTTTTTATTTTGGTCCTGTGACAACTAACTTTCTGCATCACTCCAGCTACCAAAATAAATGAAAGTACAAAACATTGTAATGGAAGCTGCCAACAACTCCCTCCTTTTGTGGTCAGGTAATTTTTTTTCTTCTAATGCTAAATATCTCCAGTCATAATAGCAATAAACTCTTCTTGATTGACTGCAAAAAAAGAAAAAGAAAATCATTAGACAAACAGCAATAAACCTTACAATAAAATAATATATCTGTACTTTAAGTAAAGGCTTCTCTATTAGTATTTGTTGCATCTGATCCATTACTATAAGTGTTTACAAATTTGCTTCTAGAACAAGGGTTTTGGCACAGATTTTTTCATGAAACATGGAACCAGAATGCAACATTATGTGGAATACTAGACCCAGAATCTAGTTCACTTATAATCACTTATATTATTTCTAATTATAAAAGTAAAAAATATTCTAGAAGTGAAATATGATAGAAAAAAAACTCCGAGAACCATATGTAAGATGGCTATGCAAAATAGTATTATTTTAAAGGTCTATAAAAATGTTAAGAATGGTACCTAAATTTTATTAAGTAAATACTTCTCAAGCAACAATACCTTAGTTAGTTATGACTGAATTCAGTCATTCAGTCAATTTACATAATTCAAAACATTTACATCCAACTTACCATCACAGATCAAACAATGCTATTCCTGTCTCCCCATTCTATAACATTTACCAAATACAAAACAAATTTTAAGTCTGTTTAGCAATTATTCCATAAATTCGATAGATTTAAAATGGACATTTGATGAGCCTTTCCCCATCTGAACTTTCTTCATTCTTCATTTATAACTAACAGAAATTTTACACAAATGCACTTGAAGAAATTAGGTCATAATAATACATTAATTAGTGTTCATTAATTATTTTGCTGCAGTTATACCTGAGGTACTGACTTTACTCATATGTTAAAACAATAAAACAGTGAACCAGTGAACACGTTCACTCTGCAACTAATTACTGTACTGGGGAATGATTAGATTAAGATGGTGGTATGGAAAAGACAAGACACATACAAAGCCCTGGCAAGTATCCATCCCAGCCAACATGCTCAAGCTATTCCTAAACAAAGCACTGCAAAGAAGGAACTACATTCACAGCTAGAAGAATATTAAAGAAATTCAACTATGTTAAACAATAAAAAACCAAAAAAACCTAAATATGTCCTGCTCTGATGTATGTAAAAAAATAGGAAACAATTATATTTAGTCTAGCTTAGGGCCCTATGCTCTGAAATACCAGTCCATCACATAGCTACATCTAGTCCTACAACACAAAAATGCTGTCACTGTATGACTTTAAAAGCACTTCCACAGCTTTTACTGCAGTAACATACTAACAAAACAAATTCAAACATCGTCTCAAAAATATTCTCTGGTTTACAACATCCTTGAAATCACGCTTGGAAATGGAAATATAACACTGTAATGACAAATTTTGGAACACTCAAGGAAACTTCAAAAAGCAGTGTAGTTACAATTCCAAGTAACCAAAGTAATTCCACTAAGTCCCCTTCAGATACAGCATCTGTTCATGAGTTAAGCACCACGAAAGCAGAAGCACTGTTTTTTCATGGCACCAGATTTCCCTCAATTCCATGACGTAAGTAATCATAAAAGAACAAACTAGAATCACAACTAATAGAAAGAGAACACTGATTTAGAATATTGAGCGTTAAAGGTGCATATTTTTTCAGAGGTGGGTTTGGGTACTTGTCTTAATGTTGTGCCAAGGAACTGAGACATGAGACTGAACAGTGTTTCCACATAAGATGATCAAAACTGCATGAACTGACACCACAGAGTTTTTCAAGTTAGTTGTGCTCAAAACCAGAAGTAATTTTTAAACCCAGGAATACCAAAGTAAGATTATTTATGTAATTAGGGGAGACAAAAATACATCAAATACACTTTCTTTTACAGAAATGTGTAGTTTTGTACTCTACCAGTAAAGCTCAGTGGGTCTACTGTGAATATAAGGGTTCATGTAACCTGAGTACCATACCAGATACCTTATTTCACTGTGAGCAAAACAATCTCTCAAATGTGATACAGGGTTTAAACTGAAAGTGGTACTGTTCCTGTATTTGATATATCAATAAAAAATGCTAACAATTAACAGTTTGAATTTTTTTTGGAGAGCAGGAAAAGAGGGAGAACTAGACAGCAAGATTTTGCCACATTTGCCAGGTGTTTGAAGACAAATGAAATTGTGATTCACAGAATAATTATCTTTCTCAGAATGAATATTGAAAAGCTAGGAACAGCCTCAGTTTTCTTTAAAGAAGAAAAAAACACACAGAACTTTAAGGATAACAAAAATTATGAACATTATGCTGTCACTCTTCCATATTCAATCTTCTGCTTGATGGCTCTAACAAGACAATGAATGGATGACTGAATAAGAGAAAACTGAGCCACTTAGTCACAGCTGATCAATCTGATTTAAAAAAATGTAGCACTGACACAAAATAATGACTCAATAACCCTCCTGAAAGAAACTAATAGTATATGTTCCATATGTAGTACTCCAATAGCAATGTGACAAAAGAACATTGATCCACAATTCTGACATCTCATTTGGCAGCTCCAGGAGATCAACACATGACAAAACATATTTGACAAAGAGTTATAATTTCACTCACCTCTATAGCTATGACTTCCAAAAATAACACCTACATTGAATAGCATAGAACACTATCTGTTAAAAGGCTGACAACACAATTTTTTCCATTAGTATATATGTGTTTTGAGCCCATCGTATGCCCGCAAGCATAAATACCATTGCCACAGGAAAAAACTGCTGACCTGCTAGTGAAATCTAAGATATGAGTCATCACCCTCTAAGAATGGTGCTTGATGGACTGATACAAGTCTATATGTGCAAGATCTTAAGTTAGTGATCCTCAAAATTCAAGAATTAAGGCTTCTATTGTAAAAATAAGGTTGTTTTGAAGATAATGAAAAACTTTCAAGTTTCAGTTTTCACAGTGATTTAACAAGCATAGTACCAAACCTGATTTGCTAATTCATTCTTTATCTACCTAGTAAGTCTCTTCTGCAGCCTACTCTGTATGGACTTTGTCAGTTAAAGAGCCATTTCTCACACTATGCTTTTCAGCACTCCAAGGCTCAGAAGTATGTTAAGGAGTCATGCAAGCTGATCCAACATAGACCCAGCCTACTTCCAGCATGATTTATTAGCTTAATGCTCCATAACCAGTGCTGAAACCACAACAATGCCACATTGCCACTTAAAATACATTAAGTGACCAAAAAATTTTCTCTCAGCACTTCACTGCTTTTACTGATTAATAAAGAAATAAAAATGTAATGTAGATACACAGAATCTCTCTTACTTCTACCTTCAACTACACTTTCACCCTCTTTTAAATAGACATTGGCTGAATAAGAGTTGGTGGTGAGTCAATTCCTTAACTCCAGGATTAGTAGCTGTCAAAAGCAATCGTCTGCATTATTTGTAAACTAAATTATGCTTAAGATGAAAGTAATGTAGAAGGAAATGAAAGAGGACATTTTCACAACAAAATAACACCTAAAAAGAGAACAAAATTAAGAATAAGATGATATGGTGTTGTATTTGCCAACACATACTTTCTCCATCTCCATCCTTATCAAATTCTTCAATCATAGCTCGCAGTTCTTCATCAGACATATTTTCACCCAATTCTCTAGCAACCCGGCGCAGGTTCCTCAGACTTATTTTACCAGAGTCATCATCATCAAACAATTTGAATGCCTTGAGTATTTCTTCTTGAGGGTCTCTGTCCAATATCCAATCTGTCACTGCAAAAAGGATACTTTAGTTAGACAAAAAAATTCAAAAAGGCTAACTCAGAATGACCTTTGCAAACTAGGACAGTATGAAGAATACACATCTGATTTCACCTGTTCTTACATTTCTATAGAATTCAATGTATGTATTTGTTTGGCTGTTGCCTGACCTCTCTTTCTCGCCTCTGTTTTCCAAAGTTGAGCTCCTCTTGGGGACATAACTGCTGCAGTAGAAAGCTGCATGGCAGTTCAGTCACACTTTCCACACATTTTCCAATAGGAATTTAAAGTATACGCAAGATGCCTCTCTTTCAAAATTCCAAATTTTCAGAAAAAAAGCACCATCAACTCTTTTAGATGAAGGTGTGAATTTTTTTTTACTTTACATGCTTTCATCAGGAGAGAATTTTGAGCTGGGGAGAACACTGAAACAGTAAGTTCCACACAGAACCTCTCTTTTAAAAATAAAACCACACTAACACAAAAAGCTCCCATAACCAACCAACTGATCACATCCCGGCCCCCAACCTGAAAACAAAAAAAGACTAAGCACAGGGGCTATGAAGAGGATGCTGCTATGAATTACAAGATGTTTATTCTGAAAGGATTCTTCAACCTTTATTATTCTTTTCAAGACAACCATTTGTCACTTTCTGCTACAGAAAATACAAACTTGCCTGGTGAAATATGAAGCAATTGCTTCAGAGTAACCAACAACAATTTATCTCCACATCTTTGGACCTATGAGGCTTGTATTGCAGGGCTAGTCTTGTATTATCAAGCCCTTAAAATCACATCAACACTGTTTGCACAGAAAGAACCACTTACCATCTGCTCCTAACTGCAGATGGAATGTCTGCTCTGGCTTAGCTAACTTGAGAGGAAAGAATTTTTCATGCTCATACAAGCCAACTACAGCAATCAAGTTTATTTATCTGCAGATTTACCCTAAATTTAAATATTTTCTTTTAAAATCACAGTGCTGCAAGACAGTATTACACAATTTGAAAAGTGCTACTTTTTGTTGCAAAAAGACAACTGAAAAATAATAAAATGTCTTTAAATACAAAACTATACAAGCCAAAATATACTTGCATCTTTATGTATTTCAGTTGAACATAAAATTAAGAGAAATTGATGGCTCAAGAATTGCTTACCTATATTCAGCTGCTCTTCACAGTTAATGTCTCAATAAGCTATTTTATCTTACTCCCCAGTCTTTCTGTGAGAAGTGATATCATATTTAATGCTGTATCAGTCATATGTCACCACAGCAATACGCTACTTCAACTCAAGTTTTCCAACAGGTTCAATCCCCTTCTAAGTATATACTGTACTTTCTACAAGAATTTCCTGGCTTCTTGCAGCACTTAATAACTCTTGATATTGAGAAAACAATGAACATGACTGGGCATCGGGAATATAAAAAGTAATTGCATGGTAATTACAGTATATTCATTTTATATAATATTACACAATATAATATGCAAATTTAAGACTGGTGTTACTATCAAATCAATACACTAATTTTTATCCTAATACTTCCACACACACTTTATAAATCAGAAAAGACCCAAAAATAATGTTCTCTAACTTGGAATATAACTATAAAAATATTACTTGTCAAATAATTAAATGCTGCCACATTTCAATCACTAATTCTTATGATACATTAAGATGATTGCTATTTGTAGTCAAGAGCAAGTACTGGGGATTTGGGTGTTTTGTTCCATAAAATCTCCAGAAATAAAATACCTTGAAGAAATGAACTATCATGAGCATAATGAACTATAATGGACATAATAAGCTAGAAATATAAACCCACACAGATTGTTTTTGGTAAACATAAATTGTATGCAAAAGCATAAATTATGCGTAACAAAAATCCCCTAAAATCTTTAAAGAAACATCAAGTCTTAAAATTCTGCAGATCACCCCAAATTCAAAGTACATGAAATTTCACAATATGCAAATTTCAGATGAAAGACACAACTAATGCTCCTGCCTCTATCAGCAGTTGAAAATTCTTGTACAATATTCAAAATCTACTTCAATTTCTCTAATCTTTTTTCTATATGAAGTCTGTAGTTTGCTTGTCGGTGTATGCATTCCTTCTCATGAAATTCAACGCCAAATACCTTTTCCACAGCAGGAAGAATTTTACAGAGATCCATGAACAGGACAAGAACATCTACACTTTAAACTAGCATTTATTCCTCTGTTTAAACTAGAAAGAGTTTGAAAGAGATTGATACCCTATTTCCTTTTATACTGTAGCTATAATTCATCTCTATATATCAAATCAAGAATTCAGCAAACAAATATTTAACTTCCTTTACTACTGACCTATATTAAACAAAATATTAAATGAAATCTCCCACTTCTGTTTCTTAAATAATTGAAAAAGCTCAGAAAGTACAGCTTTGAAATTGTACTCACTATTATAGGCTAAATATCTCTAGAAGTAGAAACACAATCAAACACATACCAACTTCATTAAAATCTTCAAAAGTGATCTTGCCTGTTGATTCGCGATCATAATCTTTAAGTATTTTCAGGACATCAGCTTTTTTCACATCAAAACCCAAGGCTCTCATTGCCACCTTTTGGAATAAAATGGAAGTGCAGTCATAGATAAGGACTAAAATAAACATTTAATAGGTTTTCCTTTTAATTTCATTTATTACCTTCTTTCCAAGAGAGAAAAAGCGTATCAATGGTTTAGTAACAATAATAAATAAATAAAAATAAAAGAGCTTGGGATATTAAAACCATTTAGAACTACTATTAGGAAATGGAACATCCAGTTACAGTGAGAGAAAAAAACCCCAAACCTTTGCATTTTCAGGGATTTTACAGACTGGACCAAATCCATCTCACAACAAGTAAATTTATTCCTCATCTCTAAAATAATTTCAAAATCTTATTTTAACACAAAACTGGAAGTCATTCTGCAAATTGTATGCAAGCGTATGTTCATGGATTTACAGGTCCTACAAGACTTTTAACTGCTTTTCTAGTCAGCCACAGAAGCCAACCTGCATTTTACTTTTCCATTAGTGTAGAAGTCCACATTTAGTTTCCCATTTCACCTCAGAAGGCAATTGCTCACAGCACACAGCACCCTAACTTCCTCCAAACTGATGAATACAGGCTAACCACATATGGAAAACCACTGAAGTAATTATTCAAAATATGCTGATTTTGTACAGGAGACAAGTAGTTTTCTTCTTTATGTGTTTCTGCTCTTTCACAGTATTAGCTTCAGGGCGACAATATTTGATTAGACAGCTAAGAAAGAGCTTTTCAAGTAATGATGACAGCTGGGAATTCAAAGCATAATTCAAACCAGAAAAAGCATAACCGTAACCAAGAGAATGCCCAGTACAACTCTAGTCACAGTGACTTCCAGCAAAGATAAAGTAAGTAAACTGTGAAATAAAGAGAAGGGAATTGTTCTGCCTAACACACTCCTGTAGCAGCAAATTAAGTATAAATAGGACTTTTCTCCTTCAAATTACTTGGTAGAGTCACACTATAGAGCCAATACACTGAAGTAGGCATTCTTTAAAAAAAAAAACCTCACTCTATGTGACTGAAACACTGGCCTCTCCAAAGCTACTTTTTGTTCTTGATGTCTTAATTAGAATAAAAATGGATAAAAGATTTACAGCGAATTTAGTGAACCCCATTTACTACTCTGTAGACTTTCTGTGGGAGGCCTTACCTGGAAAGACATCCTAAACTCCATCTGCTAATAGCTATCATAAGGAGCATCCTTCTTTGGGAAGGGCAACTACTGAACCTCCCTCAAAGAGCACACCTTATTCCTACAAATCACAGGCTTTCTTTTGAAAAACACAGGTAAGCTTTGGTTTGTAGTCAACAGTTTTACAAATTTAATTTACATCTTTTACTTACTTATCTGAAACCAACACCAAGCTTTAAGTTTTACAGTGTTTTAAAAAGAATCAAACAGTTTTTCAAGAGTTCTTCCCTCTGTCCAAGGTTATCCTTGGACAGTTTTTCCATCTGTCCAAGCTCATCCCAGGTCAACAATTATACCAGGGTTATTTAGAATGCTATTGCACATGAAGTATATAAATTGGGCAGAAAAGCTGATTCTTACACCAACAGAATATTTCCCATTTTTTCTTTATTTTTTCCTCTGCTCCTTTAACCCAGCAACACATCTTGAAGGAAGTTTTTAAAGATATAGCCAGGATCTTAAGAATTCACTATGGAACAAATATATTATCAGCTATAAAACTGCTTAAATGAAAAGAAACTTCTACCTTTAATTCATGATAATTTATCGCTCTATCCTTGTCTGTATCAAACAATTCAAAGGCATCTTTAATTTCTTGCTTCTGTTCCTCAGTCAGCTCTCTTCTTTTCTTCTTCTTAGTTTTGTCTACTGAGAGCTCATTCCTACATAAAGAAAAGGAAACGTAGTGTAACAGATTTCTACTGGGAAGATGCCACTGTAGATAACCTTTTCCTCCAATAAGAAACTCACCATAATTTTAGGAATCACTACCTTACTTAGTCAGTATTTTCCCAGCTTGTATTCCCAGTTTAAAATAACATCAGAAATAGACAATTACCTTGTGAAATCTGAATGACATCTCCCGGCTCCCACCCAAAATAAAACCAGCAGAGGCATTTTTGTTAATAAGCAGCAACAATAACAACAACAAAAAAAGAGGGTAGAAAAATTACCAGTGAAAAAGGCTTCTTGAGGTTACAAACTAGATTAGCAGTTGAAATTATACAACTCATGAAAACAGCTCGTTTCTACACTGTAGCTTAAAAAAAAAGTGAAACAAATTTGGGGACTGACAGGCCCGTGGAAGCCAAACTAGGCCAGACAGTCTGGCTACTAAAGTTAGCATTAGGTGCTACAAATCAGCTTTGTTGCCTGTTCTCAGATAAATAATACTTGCAGGATTTTTTTAAAATTCTTTAGATCCCACACATACACATTGTTTTGAAGATCTTTTGCTCTGCTTTGGTATATACAAAAGAGAAAAGCCCTCCAAATCAGCAAATCTTGCTCAAAGACAGCCCCCTTTTCTTTGGCTAGTCTAGGAATAAGCTTATGTTTTTAGAGGAAACATCCTAGTAAAAGGATAAGGGACAATAGCTACAAAATTTAAGGGAAAGAACTGCAGCTGGAGGAGAAACGGCAGCTGGACCTAAGGGAAAACATTTTCCCAGTGCATATGGTGACATGTTAGAACAGTTCCACTGGGAAGGAGTCTCCATCATCAGAAATTTTTTTAACTTGACTATAAAAGGCTCATGATCCTCAGCCATCTTTATGTAGAAGGCGCTGTGATCAGAAAGCTGGACTAAATGACTTCCGTAAGTTCTTCCTAACCTAAATTACTGTATAGTTTATGTTATACTCTCAGGAATGTTTTTTTTATTCTCATTTGTCCTTTTGCATTGAAAGCAGTATGAGTGCTGTATCACCTAGTGTAGAATGCATAAAGATTACTAATCAGAAAACTGCAAGATTAATTTTCTAAATCCCTTCTAGTAAGCTACTTTATACCCTTCATTGTTGACACTTTGCTAGTTTTAATCAAATCCTAAGCTTAAACACTTATCTAGCTTTTAACAACCACTGAAGCAAAAATCCCAAATACAGACAAGAAAAGTGCAAGCTGCAGAAGCTGAACCTGCTTCAAAAATCACAATACTCTCAAAGAGTAAGATGCCTTTAACAGACCAGCTGAGACAGTAAGATTTCACACAGGCTTTGGATTACTACAGCTCTTGAAAGGACTAAAATAACTCAGAGCTGGCTACGTAATTAGGGTAGCTCAGATCTAGGGAGCCCAGATTTTGTGAGCTACGATGAAGAAATCAATTTATAAATCTGAAAGCAGATTAATACCGAACTTTACTGAAAAAGCAATCTTATGAATACTTAAGTATTCATTTAGTGCTTAGTATAAAATAATTGATCAAAAGAAAAAGCAGTATTTAAATACAAGCAGCTCAGTGCCACTTCTGCAGCTACTTTAACCATAGTAAGCATGAAGTTCTTAGACTTGAAAATTAAGGATAACAGCTGCCATGAAAGCGTATTAATTACACTTGAAGACAAGTATTTGCCAGGTACAGGGATTCATAAGCCAGGCTCCTTTATGCAATAGCTACTAAATCAGAATTTAGAAACAAAATAAAGCCGAGCCATTTAACTTTATGCCGATTCACAGGCCTTTTGAAAGCACATCAGACAACCCAGAAGCGAACCTCTCAAGGCCAGGCGCGCCGGACCCTTCCCTCTTCCGGCAGAGAGACGGGTCCGATCCGCCCCCGGCCGCGCCAAAGGGATCAGATGTGACCGGTTGGAGGCCGGGGACGACCCAGGCCCCGCCACGGCCTGACACGCCCCACCTTCCGCCAAGAGCTCCCGAACGGGGGACGGCCCTGAGGGATCCCCACCCGCGCTCCCGAGCGGAGGAAGCAGGAAAGCGCCGTGCTCGTACCGACCTGAGGGCCAGGCTCATCGTGCCGCTGCGGGGCAGCCGGGTCCGGCTAACGCGCTCCCTCCCCTCTGCACGGCCCGGCCGCGTCCGAACCCCAGCAACGCCGCGCGCCTGCCCTGGACGACGCCTTTCAAGCCGCGCCCCCAACAGTCACCTATGCCTGATTGGCCGAGGGTCGATAAACTCCCGCCTGCGAGTCCTAGGCGCTCTGCTATTGGCTGAGATGGTGCCACTCAGGGCGGAAGGGGCGGTCCCTGCTCTGAGCTGGCGATGGCTCCTGGCAGCGCCTTCGGCCGTTGAGCCGTTTCTGCTGCGAAACGGGCAAGATGAGAAAGTTTTCCTAAGGAAGGATGTTTCTTGATGTTTGATCTTGATTTTCAAACCTAATCAAAAAGAAAGGAGATTTAATCCTTGAAATAGATAGACGCTACAAAGCAAGCTTAAAGTGATGTCCAGGCGTTATAAAGAAAAATCTTTTGTTGGAATTTCCTTGTTAAGGTCTAGCTCACGACGTGTTTCAATGATGTCAGACAAACAATTCAGAATTTCTTGGCCACAAGGACATTTGGCAGAACCCCCAAAATACAGAAGGAATTATTAAAGGCAACTCAGCAACTGTGCTGAATCAGCTTCACCTCCAGCAGACCACATACCAAGCTGCCCACCGACTCAAGGACTGGGCATGTGAACTAATTAGCATGAGAAGTAAGAGGAGAATTAACAACAGAAGATAGAATAATAATTAATAATAGAACTATGTAACCTGAAGCCAATGAACATTAATGCATTTGTTTGCTAAAATGTGTAAATACTAAAGAGTTGATAGTTGGCGTGCTTGATTTATGGAATACCATGCAGCACCCAGGCTTGTGCAACTCTGAAATAAATAATCCATGTCTCCCTCAAGTATGTAATTATTGGCTTGTTGCACACTGGGTAACAAATCTGATTTTTGTGGTCAACACTTTTACTGGCCTTGCTGCAGCCTGGGTGCGTGGTGGCTGTGTCAGAACTCCCGGTAGGCCCAGGTAGGCTCACTCCGACTGCTGGAGGTGCGGTCGGCTGTGGAGGTGCGCACAGAAGCGGCTTTTATAGAAGCTTTTCTGGCATTTGTACAGATTTTGCCTTACTAAAATTTTGATTGAAAGCAATATGTACTGTGGGGAGACTGAAGACCTTAATGTGTAGTTCCAGTTATCACTGACACTAATGTTCTTGTGTCTTGCAAAACAGTCAGTGAATCAATATTACATATCTGTGTGGAGAAATGTGTGAAAAGTGCTGCCTCAGTGCTCTGATCTGTGGCAAAGTAATTGTCACAGATTACTTTGCTTCATAAACAAAAGCTGTTTCATAACTAGCTTTGACAACATACTACAGTGTTACTAACTGGACCATGATGATATTCAAATCCTTGCTAATACTTTGTTATGCAGTCTGGCTAGATAGACTGAAAATTCTTAGGCAATGAAAAATTCCTTCAGGTGTTTCACTCCTGACAGCATGTCTTGGAGATATTTTGCACCTGTGTTTCCAGTAATAAACTTTTACTGTATTTACACTGAGTACAGAGAGTTGAAGATGTAGAGTTTAGCTTGCTCAAGATACATTTTTCCTGAACAAAGTCAAGCAGACATGAAACTTATTTTGCTGTTTATTCATATTATGCCTGGTCTACAGATCAAATAGGCATAGGCAAGAGGTTTGTAATTGACCTCTGTTTACAGATGATAGCTTTGCGACTAAAAGCATTTATTACTGGCAGGTTTGACCCTCAACCTGTACTGTGGTGCAAATATAACCACAGATTAAATTTTTTTGTGTGTTTCATAGAACACATTTACTTGTTCAGAGAGAAAAGGAAGCATTAACCAAATGGTGAGTGAAGTGTGGGAAAGTAGCACCAGGAGCCCCCAGCTGCACCAAGAGCCCCAAATTGCACTCATCCCCACTCTGACCTCCTCTGCGTGCTGATCCTGGATCTCAGCATAGGAGCCCTTGGTTCTTGCCTGAGCTGTACTGGGGTTATTCCTGTTCTGTGTGCTGCTCTTGCTGACATACTTACCAGAGTTCATGAGTCATTACCTTGCCATTGTCTCCAGTCACTAGGCTGCTTACAGGTCAAGTTACTCTGCAGGGAGGTCACAATCCCTGCCTGTGTTGTGACTGTGCTTCTCTTCCAAGTTGTCCTCTCTCGTGGTGTACCCGTGCCCTGGCTGCTCTGTGTCAAGCACAGTGAAATACCTGATACTGATAGTCTGTGCTTCTGGGAACTGGAGATCCACATTCAGGTCCCTACTTCTAAATTTATAAGCTAAAAAGAAACCGAAGTTCCACTCTTCGTACATTGATTTAAGTTAGCAGCAGTGCTCATACTGCATGTGAAATGGAAATGCAAAGAATTCCAAAGAGAAAAGACAGGCTCAAACAGTAATACCTAAAAATATGGTGGTGGTAGCAGTGACTTATAGATCCTTGCATTTTCAAAGTTGGTTAAACCTGTCCTAAAATGACCTCTTATAAATAGAGTTGGTAAGTTAGAATAGCACTAGCCTGTTCCTCATGCATACATATTGTCAGCTCAATATGGAAAATAATTAATAATAAAATATACTTAAAGATGTTACTGGCTTTTACTTAATTTTCAAACTCATCTATTGCTTTTGAAAAGTCATTTCTGGGGCTGTCTGCCAGGTCTGTCTTCCCTCTGAGTGAAAATAAATTCTTCTGTAGTCCTAATTTTATTACTATTTGAAACTATCCTACCACTCTGTTGTTATAAACTGAATTTGAGTGTGCAGAAGACCTCATCCCAACTGCTCAAAATCAGATCACACATCAGAACTGTAATTAAATTAATCCTGAATTTTTTAAAGGAGAAGTTGGGCAAGATTTCATGCAAGTCAAGAGAGTTCTGTTAATGTCACTCTTAGAACAAATAATATGTAAAAGTACAAAGCCATGTTAAAAACATACCTAGTATCATTGCCAGTTCGATGATTGTGAATGCATTTCTTTGTGCATCTGGGCCAAACTGCTGGGAAATACCTGGCACAATCGCAGAAGTGTTGCCTAAGTTTCTGAGCCTTTTTCCATGTCAGGTCCTTTTGAGTTGTTTTTTTCTTGGGGGGGGGGGGGTTGGGTTGGTTGTTGGTTTTTGTTTGTTTGTTTGGGTTTTTGAAGTTTTTATTGTTTGCCTTTCCAATTTTAATTTCTGTTGAGTGCCTCATTGCCTCTCCAGGACTCTGTTGGGCATGTGTGGGAATATGCAGTTAGCTCTAAAATAATTTTTTAACCAGTAATTTTTAAATTATTGTGAGATTAGTCTGTCCAGTAAAATCTGAGTCGTTAGGAGTAACCATGCTGAAGATGGTTTTGGGTAGCACAGTAAAAGCAAGGAGCAGGCCCATAACACCGCTGGTTTCTATTTTGATACTCGATTGTGTTATTTTCATGGTAAATGCAGCCCCCGCCCCAGCCGGTGGCGTCGCTCCCCGCAGCGCGGCGCTCAGCGGTCAGCCGGCGGGACAGCGAGGGGGCATTCCCACCCTGGGGACACCGCACGGAGGGGGCATCCCGCCCCCACGGAGCCTGCACGGGCACTAACAGGCTTTGGGGTGGGATCTCACTACGCCAAGCAACACGCCGCTGGGTAAGCTGGCAAAGTGACTTCGCAGCATTCTGGAGTGCCTGGACCACTGATGCACCTCGAACGGCTGACTGCCCTGAAAACCCAGTGCACTACAGCTAAAATGGTTTGGCTAGCAGCTCCCTCGTGTAATAGTTAACGTCAAATAGATTTAAAAAAAAGAACGTAATGAATGTTTTTTTTTTTTTCATTGCTTCTCGATAATTTCTATACTTCCTAATTCAATTTGAAAGTGAAAGGACTTTAGATGGAGTAGTAGTATTTTGGGTAATACATGGTTGAATTTTCAGACCCAAGAGGTACTGCATACTGATTTAAGTTATATGTCCATCAATTATAAAGAGGAACTTGGACCAGTGTTGATTGAATGCTGAGACCTAGATTTTTAACATTAAATATTAATAATTCCTCCTTTTCCTCCACCTTTATCTCCCTCATGCTCTCCTTAACAGAGCTGCATTACTTTGTTTTTCTTTGGCTACAGATGTCTGCTCTTACAAGGCAAAGTGCATGTACAATGTGTAAACATTTTAAATGCAGTTTCTTTCTCAGAAGCATAATTCTGCTAGGAACTTGTAAATATAGTCCGTCTAGAATGAAAAGTACTTCTGTTGAGAAATACCTAGAAATCATTACTTAAGTGCATAGGATTATAATATTTTATTATGATAATACATGAAAAAAATTAATTATGCGCAAACAGTAGTTTAACATTGTAACAGCCTTGACAGATTACAGAACAAAACTTCCCATCTGATTTTTATATCAATTCCCCAGTCTACTGAAAACTGCATTAACATATATTTAGATGTTACAAAGAAATCAACACAGTTCTAAACGCTGACATGACACAGTATATTTAAACTTACAATGCATTTTTAAAATATTTAATCCAAGTAGTGTTAAAGGACCACTGTCAAACTCTTATCATTAAAATTTGTTAAGTCTTAACAAAAATAATCAGAAACCATTCTCTTAACTTAAGATAATTTAAATATTGTTTATCTGTTTATAGTAGTGAATTTCTCGCAATACAAAAAATAATTTCATGACTCAAAAAACTACTTTCATTTGGATTAGCAGCAATTTACTAACAAACTCCACTTTGGGTTACGTGCATGTAAAGTTCATTTCTGAGCTAGGAAATTATCCCCTAGATTTTGGTAAAGTAAAAAAGTCAAAGTTTTGGTTACGTACTTAGTGGACTTAAGCATAGCTTAATAGGGCATTTTGAGAGTGACCTGACCATTTAAGGATCTTTACTGATAGAGATGTTGAGCACAGATTTGAACACAAATTATGGAGGATGGAGGTTATTCTTTCCTTCTGGACTGATGTTGCCTGTGAGTCTTGTCGTAAAAGCTCAGGCTTTAAAATATAGTAAAATCTAGCTACAGAGATTCTAATATTGGATCAAATGAACAAACTGATAGAAGTGTAACACAGAATGCCAATTCAAAGTGATCTTACTTTTCTAGTGAACATCTGCAAAACTTAGC